TGGGTTCATGGGTTCATGGGTTCATGGGTTCATGGGTTTGGGGTTTGTTTGTTTTTGTGTCGGAGGTTTTGGGTTCGGGTGTTGGAGGTTTTGGGTTTGGGTGTTGGAGGTTTTGGGTTTGGGTGTTGGAGGTTGAGGTTTTCGAAGGGATGTGTTTGCAAAGTTTTACTGCTCTTCATATTGTTTCTCTTTCCAGGCGCATGGGCATGCTGCATGATATGTTTTTTTTACTCATTGAATTACTACACGCTCTAGTTCATTAGGTACCGAATGTATTTCGTTGTAGCCAACATATTGATTTGTTATAGATGAGAAAGACCCTATTTTTGGATCATAGCACCTGAAGCGCCGCAAAAGCAAAAGTGTAAGACCTCTACGTTGCACCGGGCCGCTTGCTTTGCCGCACCTTCGTACATAAGACCCAGCGTGTTTCTCAGTCCCCCTCTATACATACATACATACACTTTTGGATCATAGTTAGCTCTTACTTATGTCGCAACAGCTTTAGTTATATTTTCCTCATGGAGATTTGCATTTCTTTGGTAAGTAGTGAAAATCGAAATTGTTTCTTCGCATACAACAAAGAGAATGGCTCTATTATCTGGAACACGTCTGCGTGCCTACGTGGTTCGTGTACACCTTTTCCTAGAAAGGAACGTTTTCGCAAAGGGCATGTGGTTGAGGAAGTGTTGTGTTTGTCGATAAGGGTTTGTCGATGAAGACTTCTCCTGACGATTGAAGAAAGAGTAGGTCAACAACTATCTTCTCATCATCCATGTAGGGATTACACCCGTCTACTGTTGACGGGATACTATCTCATCATCGTCATGGACGGAGATTGCTGATTCCTGAAGACGGGAACTTCTATCACAGAAGTAATATGCAAGTCACCGAGGGGCCAAGCTCCATCCACCTGGAGGTACTATGCACTTCGATGTTGAGAAAGGAGAAGAGCCTCTTCTAGACGAAGCCTACATCGATGAAACTATACCACGAAATCACAGCAGGCACACGTACTTCCTCCGCTAAGACCTGGCGACCATTCATCTGTTCTCCCTGCACGGGTACGAACCACGAGTTTTAACTTCGAACCGAATCAAGGAGCTTCCAGTGAATTGCTGAGGATACAACTCGAAGTCGCTCATGCTGGGGTCCTCTGCGCCTGGCGCTAGCACCGCCGGGTCCCCCGGCCTTACCGGGGGTGCCTCGATGGCTTCCATTGGAACTCAAAAGATGCCTCTTCCCGGTGATAGTATGCAAATGAACTCAATCGAAGATGGGAAGTCGGAGAAGAAGGACGCAAAGGAAACGGTGATTGCAGTGGCGCCAGCCAAAAAAGTGTACGATCCCGGAGAGCTAGAAAACGACCCCGAACTCCTGGAATATGGTAAATGGATGGACTTGCAAAAAAAGGCCCGACAACCGCCAGTGCAAAGCGAAACACAAGCTTTAGTTACGATCTACTTTGCTCGTGTGATAGATATAATAGTACTCCTGTGATGCTGTTAAACTTTTTAAGTTACTACCAGGAGTAGGGGTGCGATTCAGAAGGTATAGGTTAAAAATACTTTCGTAGCGTAGAAAAGCTCCCTTCCCGTACTTCGCCCATAGAAAAAGTATATCCACCACGATAAGTCTCCATTCATGGATCATGCGCTTCGCGCATCTTCTTCTAAATTAAGGCGCATAGCGCAATTATGCATGATTCCCGTGATGCATGGTGGGCCAGATCCCCCAATAAGGGCCTACGACTACGACCCGAGGATACACGCGGCACCCCCGAAACAAGAGAATCCTTGGGAACTTTCTTCGCAGTTGCATATCACCCAAGAAATGGAGGCTATTCTCAGTGCGCGGGGAGAAAATACGTACAAATTAATTACTAGACCAGAGTAGGGCTAGAGGTAGAGATGAATTGTGTATCTAGTCTGGTATGCGAATCATGTAGACTACTCCATCGTGTGTCTTCATCGTTGTATGTTCGTACAAATTGACTTTGCATTTGAAGGACCCTTCGTAGATCAGGGTCTTCACGCACCTCATTGTCCCTTGAAAAATTCGAGTCAAACAGGCTCACCTGGCTCCACAATCTAACTCAGATTCTTGAAAGAACGCAAGAACGTAATATCTGTTTTGGGCGCCCCTTCTTGCGGAAAGAGTGTACTCCTGAAATTGCTCTTTTCGTGTAATCCAGCGAGGCGAGACGGTGAGGAGCCGTGTCGAATTGCCAATCAATACTATCCAGCTCGCCAAGTAGAGATGAAGAAGTTCAAAGTCAGAAAGTACTTTCATAGCAACACGGGCAGAAAAGGATCAAGGTCGCCTAGTCCCTCTGCGAAAGGTACTTGCTGTTACTTTTGATTACCTAGATGTCTATACCGTCGTTGAATCTGTTTCGTCTTAGCTCCTATTACTTGCGACGCGATATTAATGGTTATCCTCTGAAAAGAAAATGTAGCGGAGATGGAGATTGACGGAAATCTAGTACAGGATCAATTGCCAGGCAGGCACATCACCAAAGTGATTCTACTTTCATTACTTCTAGGAAATCCCACTTTATAGTGGAGCTCATTCTTTCAAAGTACGATTACGAACGACGTCGTAATTTTATATTCACTCTCCAAACAAAAAAGGTTCAAAAGACGAAAGTGGAAAGGCTGCTTACGACATAGAGGACAAATTTTTCTTCCAACGTAGAGATTTCAATCGATTCAAAGAGGCGAATGGAGAGGACTCTGCGCTGAACATGCGCCCAACCGAAGGAATAGAACTACACCACTGGAAAGCGCATGAAGTCGTCATTCTTGATACGGCAGGCATGAACTTCTTTGAAGGTACAACAAGAACCTGTTGTCACATCAAGTTTGTCTTAGTCCTCCTCGTGAGGAGGACCTCTCGCTCTGTGCTCTTCTATTACGAAAAAATAGCAGTTCCTAATCAGCTAAAAATCAAATCACATTTTTTGTCTCAACAGAAACGCAGAAAGACCTGGAGGAAATGGAGAAGATAACAACTGCGAACCCCCATGCAGACCCCGGAAAAGATCGTGCGACTAGAAAGCGGAAGCGAAAGCGTTTGCGTGACCCCGATGAGAAGAGTGACATCTGGGATTCGAGTTACCGCAACTTTTTGTTAAGAAGGCTCCTTTGATGTTGATTTTTCACTCAATAACTAGATGACATCAGTAGTGCATTGTCAGGAATAGAGTTTTCGGTATATAATGTTCTGTCCCGAGTAGATGGTCATTCAGATAATTATAAGAATATACAGTCACGATACTTAGCGCTCTTTCTAATTTGACCACCACTCTTGTATGGGATGAGTGGCATTCTCCTACTTTGTGTCCCGTACGAGTGCGACTACGTGGAGTACGTTGAGAATTGTCTGAAAGCAATCATCGCCAAAGTGCGGAATTCGCCACGACCGGGTCTCATCATCGTGCGCATCCGCAAGAAACGAAGCGAAGATGATAAGAGGGATGAGGCAGAAGAGGAGGCGGAGGTGAAGAGAAAGAAGGAAGCGGCAGAGCGCAAAAAAGCACGAAGAGCGGAGCGCGAGCGCTTGAAGGCAGAGAAAGACCGTCTCAAAGCGAGTGCGTCTGGGCTTCTGGGTGGGTCTTCGATGTTACTTCAGACTGTCGGCAGCTCATCAATCCTGCAAGGCGCGGTGACGCAATCCAATAGCTCTCAAGCGCAAGATGGAACGTTCGCAGAAATGGAGGCCAACACTTCGAAAGTGAACAATAACTCGACAAGAGCGGGAGCACAGGCTACTGGATCTTCAATAAATAAAGCGCCTGCTCTGGTTCCAGAGCCAAACAAAGGAAAAGCCAAAGCATCCGATGAGGCAGGATCGGCATCTGGCAGTGACAATCCACAAGAAGGCGTGGCGGAAACTAGCCAAGGAGGTGAGACTAAAGACCCCACAACAACGACGACGTCACAAAAAAATCCTAGTGAACAACCTTCGACCGCCTCCGCTGCTGTCGCAGTAGGACAACCAAAGCAAGAGGGCGCAACGCGGGCAAAAATCAACACCGATGTGCCTGAGGTAGTAGAAGAAGAGAATGCAGTTGGGGATGTCATGAACGTAACAATCAAGGCAGCTGGCGCAGTCCTTAGTGGCGGTGAAAATGACCCTGACGATGACCGAAGAGAGCTGCGCAAACTGCAGAGGGAACTTTCCAGAGGCGGTCCTGCAAACCGGAGTCTCTTTTTCTCCGACTCCGATGAGGAGGTACAGAATAAAAGCGCGCACGATAGCAGAATCACAAGGGGCCGGGGCAGCGAGGAAGAGGAAGAAGAGGACGATGACATGTTTTCCTCTCGTCGAGGTAAGTCTTCGGTCATGCGCAAACTGTTCGGGGACGGAGACGGAGAGGAGCACGATGACGAAACGGACGACGACGCACTCTTTTCAGCACCTGAGATTAAGGAAACAACAATCTCAGAATGCATTATTACTACTGATTTAACCCCACTGAACAGTTTTGTTGTCGTAGTTATTGATTTTTGAGCTTCAAAGTTTTGAACTTTTTCCATAAGACTTTCGTATCTATGAAAGTTTCTCAGCGAGGGTTTATTACTGCCTTAAGCGACTTCATACGATACCTCTCCAGATGCATTTTCTCAACGAAAATTTTTCTCTACCACAATATGAATGAACAGAGCTCGTCAGGAAATGAATTCGACTAAAATGGAATAAAATCAAAATTTTTGATTTTTCATTCAAAGTAGTTCCGCAGTTTGGAATTGTGTAATAGGGTGGGTACAGCCTGTCAAATTTAAGTGTAATTATACAAGAACGCTCTAATCCTAAGCGATCCGACGAAGAGACCGGGTTGCACGAGAATACCCAAAATTCAGTGGTTTCCTCACTCTTCGCGGACGATTTTCTCCAGCCACACGAACTAGACAAACTCTTAGGAGAAAAGGCAGAGCTAAAACCTATTGCGGACGAGAAGTTGGATTTTCAGTCTACAGATGTCCCTCCAGAGCTCGTGAAATACCGACTTTACTTTCACTCCATCAAAGTGTTCACCTTCGATAGCTATCCGAAGCTGACTTTCGACCGCTCACGCCGATTCATCAAGACACTGCAAGTGATGCGCAGGTAAGTCTCTCTACTTCACTGAAGGAAAGGCAATGCGAACACTCGGTGATAGAGATACTGGCAGACATGATTCTCAGAGTAAACCTGTTTTGTAACCCAAAGAAATGCAAAAAGAGGCATCAATTTCAATTGCTTCGATAGACCTCATACATCAAAATCATAAACGAGGTACATTTTCGACTTGATGGACGACATGAACGAGCTGAAGCAGGGTCCTGCCGGTCGGCACACCGTGCAGCAGGACGCAGAGTACTCCATTTGTCTGCCGGTTTGGCACGGGCTTTCCAATTACCACATGTTGTACCTGTTGAAAGTGTTGATCGCGTGGTCCAACTTAAGGTTTCCGCTGTCTATGGCTCTCGGTGCGGCGTACATCTCAGCGCACATTCCTAACGTGCCGAATCTGAGGCTCGTGAACTTCCAGTGCATGCGCGCTCTGGTAGCGGATTTGCTGGCACCGGTGAGCGGCCGCGCGCAGGACTCGCTCTCTTTGCGGTGGACCGCAGCGATCAGCTCGATTGCGCGTTACGTAGTGAAGATGGGCAACACACTGCGAGACCAGGACTACTGGCTACTGCAGAACGAGCTGATGCAGTGGCTTCCATGTGCTGCGACGGCTAAGAACCCGCTAACAGGCGATACGGTCACATGTTCGCAACCGCGGGCGTTGCACGGCATGGTGCACCGCTGTGACAAGACAGGCTGCGTCTGGGAGGGAGAGTACGTTACACCAAAATGGACTTTCAACCCGATTGAGCAAGCGGTAGAACTCTTGGCGGCCTACGAGAGTGTGGTACTTACTTGTTAATGTCGCGTCAAGTATTGACGTTTCATATTGTTTGAAGATCATTCCGATTGAACTCATTTGGGATACAGTGATATCATTGAGGGGGCGGTTTATTATCCACATCTACTTCTAGTCAGATCTATGTATAACTGCTCCCAGCGTGATCTTCAGAATAGGTACAAGAATTGCATAATGATTCTTCAAATTTATTCAGGTGCGAGCTCCGGAGAAGCTGTCGCAAACAGAAGCAAATCTTCCCCCGCACGAGCGACCGGACAAGAAGGATGAGGCCTTCTTTGAGCGGACCGCGAATACAGGCGGTTTTGATCTGTTTTCTGACCGCGTGAGCGACAAGTATGGGCCGCCTTTTTGCGCTCTGTGCTTCCGCGTGCTGATGCGACCGGAGGAGGACCTGCGAGAACTGAATCGTGACCGCAACAAGGAACAGCTGCTGGCAACCGCCCTGCACCGGAAGGCGGAAATTCAAGCAGAGGAGGAGCGACAGAGGAAGGAGGCGGAAGAGCGAAAGCGCATGGCCAAAGAAGCACGAGACCGCGTTCGTAAAAAAGCCCTCGGAGCGGCTGATGGTGCAACCGGCATCATGAACTTGACACAGTACATGATGAAAATTGGGGCGGACGGGAAAGCCGCGAAAGAAGCAGCGCAGCGGCAAGCAGCGCTTGATCGCATCAACAAGAAAAAGAAGAAGCCCGCCGCGGGCAGCGGGCCAGAAGGATCAGCCGCAGACACAAGCAGTCCTGGTGGAATGGGTAAGGGTATTCCAGCTGTCACCAGCCCCAATCGGAACTCCAGTCCAGACGCTGCCTCAGGCACCGCGGCAAGTCCAGAAGGAGGAAATCGAGAGGGAAGTGTTAGTCGTCCAGCCACCGATGTTGCAGGAGGAAATGATGAGCAGGTAGGAGAGACGCCTAGCGTAGGACTGTTCGGCAAAAGCGCGGTTGGACGGGCACGCGCTGTGGGAGACAGTGCGGCCAAAGCCTTCAAGAAGATGGCGTCGGGTTTCGGGTCTGCTATAGGGGGATCTGGAGGCCGCACCGGATCAGCGGGAAGTGGTGGTAGTGAAGCAATGTCACCGGAGATGCTCAAGTACCAGGAGGGACTGCGCGCTCGCGCCTCCGCCAGGCAAGCGAGACGGAAACAGGACTTACAAAAGATGTACCCAGAATTAGACTGTTTCGGCGAGCGTGCCGCACAAGAAGCTTTGGAAGCCGTAGTCTCCGAGGAGTCGGAAGAAGAAGTTGTGGCTCCGCGTAAGTACGCATTCATGACGCGCAACGCGAGCTTTTCGCCACCGAAAAAGACCTCCACACGGAAGCGCGGTGTTCACGACAACGTCGGTGGTGAGCCATGTTCTTCAGGTGCGAAAACGCACGCTACCGGGTCACTGAGCGCCAGCAAAACGAAAATCAAGTTTAAGACGCCAAGCAAGACGAGTCTCGTGTCAGCCGGTGCAGCGGACCAGCCCACTATTAGCCTCACTGCACCAGGCGCGCAGCAGCGGAAAGACGGACGCGAGATTGGTTCGCCACAGGGGGGCTCCGTCGCCGAATCAAACTTCCCATTATCGCGGTCGAGCTCGAAAATGGATGAGCAAATGGTAAATGGGACACAGAAACCTCAGCAACTCAGCGCAATCAAGCCAGCACGCCAGTCAGGCGCCAGCAGCCCATCGCTGTTTGGGGGTTCCCCGGAGGAGGGTCTCGGTGGACCGCAGCTTCCACTTGCAGCAGCCGATCTTAGCGCGGAGCTTCCGGATATAGGCGCTGCCTTCTCGCAGCACAAGTGGTACTTGTCCAAGCAGGGCAATGCTCGCGCCGAAAAGCGCGCGGCCGAGGCCCGCGTGGAGATGGACTACCATTTAGGTGAAATCTACGACAAAAACGGATATGCGCAGGACTTGAAGACGCTGACGGAAGCCGACGACAAACTGAGTCCCAAGGTGTATTCTTCGGGTCTCTCGCAAGTGTATTTGTCTCACGAGAATGTACGCCGGCAGAACTTCGACGCCAAGCTAACCAGCTTCAACAAGGAGGTTTACCTCAAAGAGCACTCTAAACCAGTGGCAGAGCGCTTTGCGGAGATCGCGCATCGCGCACCGCCCATGCGCGATAACCGCGGCGCGCTGGTCATTCCACCCGTCGTTGCTGAGGACAGTCTAGAGAGTGCAATTCTGGCGGGTGTGGACGTAGAAGGCATCAACCGAGAGCTCTACATGAAGGACTCCCGCAACGGGTTTAACCGGGATCAGCTAGAGTGGATAGAACAGACCTTTCGGAACACCAGTAGCCGGTACATCCGCTTCTGTCCAGACTGCTTTGGCGGCTACAAGCGACATTACAGACAGAGAGGCGTGCCCGATCCGAACAAATATGAGGAAAACTATCAGGCACCAGAAGAGGTACTGAACTTCTTTTACTGTAGATAAACGCCATGGTGATGATAGTAATTGGTTCTGAAAGGTAGAAGTAGCACTCGCAGTTGGACTCATAAGGAGGGTGACTAGCGAGATTCATCCTGTGGTTAGTAAGTAAAAGTACTTTTGTTTGGAGGTGGACATGAAACAGAAATTCCAATTTGCTATCATCTCTAGGAGCCGATTTTGTTTGAGCCGATTCCGTTCAGGAATACCCGTGGTCATTTCGCGCGCCACCCGTACACTGGTGAGTTCGAAGCGTACTGTGAGCCGTGTCCGGTGAAAAACATTCCGGGGAAGCGAGAAAACTATCCTCTGACACGGCCGTACCTGTTCGAGCGCAAGGGCAGCATCCAGGACATAGTGATTCCTGGCGGCCGCCGAGAACCTTTCCGGGTGACGATGTACCAACCTTTGGCGATTCCGCCAATTGTGATCGAGCAGAACCGCAAGTGCTGTCCCTTGTGCGGCAAGAAGAATGAAAACTTTGCGTTGGTGCAGCCCTGCTTTCACCGTTTCTGTCTTTAAGGCTACCGCTGAAGCATCCTCAATGCCATCCTTCCTTGGCCCCTTTTTCGAAGTACTTGAAAACGAAGCCAAGTAGGATGGTGTCAGTGATGCAAACTTGGCAGCTCTAATGTGTCGAATGCATCCTGGATTGGACCGACTTTTGCCACGATTTCTCCGAAGTTCTGGCAAACTACCCACTCGGGATGCCAGCCGGGACATTTATGGGACGGATCGCGGACGTCACGAAGCAGTATCACTACGAAAACGGTGTTGACCCCAAGCGGAAGGCACAGGGTGTCGTCCAAGAATTAAGGCCTCCAAAAATCCATCTTGTTCGCAAGCATCCTGAGACCTTTTTCAAGGGGGAAAGGGGGCGTGGATGCATTTCAAGATGGATACATAGAAGGTCTAAAAGAAGCGGCGGCGTCGGTGTCGCGTAGAAATACGCAATCCATGTCGAGGCAACAGACCACTGCCAATTTGCCGAACTCGGGAAGACCTCTTAGTCAGGACAGCAAAAATAGCGCAACGGGTAAAAAAAGCACGAGCCGTGAGGGGCGGCCGAGCAGTCGGGGGCAAGTGAGTGCTGGTGGGGCACCGTCGCAAACGAGCGAAGCAGTACCCTTGCTAGTAGAAGGAAATCACGAAGCTCCAGGCGACCTTATTTGTGAAGAAGTTTACGATCTACGAGAAGGCCGGCATAAGAGCCCACCTGCTAGAGGAAGAGAGAAAAACGGCGCTTCTTCACCCGGCTCCGTAAGCCCAAGGAACGGTTCCAGCAGTCGCAAACCGAAACGCAAGAGGTCCATGACCCGCAATAAAGAAGTTAAGGATAGTACTGTTTCATCTGTGGTCACTGAGTAACACTAGAAATTCGAACGAGAACTCAGCGGAGAACGAGAAGATTCGGGCAAGCCGTAGATCATGTAAAGCTCCTTTCGCGCATGTTCCAAAATAATAGATACGTAGAAATACTTATAACGGCAAAAGAGAACAACTTACTACGGCGTCTAATAGATATGATCCGCAGCGGGACGTTCGAGAACTGACACCAGAGAGTTATGCGGAGTTGCTGGCGTATAAGATGCCCGCGCCAAAGAAAAAGAAGTCCAGACCGCCGCCAATTTACTCAGTGACGAACCGGGAGAATGAGGATGGCTTCGTGCCGACTGGAAGGCCCAATGCGGCGAAACTCGGTGTCACCGGAAACGACTTGAAGCCGAAAAAGTGGTGCCCCGTTTGTCGCGAGCACATCCAGCGAGTCGTGATTCTGGATGCACTGTATGTCTCCATTGGGGATGGCATCGTGGACATCGAGGACTGGGCCAGGGGGCAGGGCTTTACCCCGTTCCCAGCGCAGCAACAGGAGGCGCCGGCTCTCAAGATGCACATCAACTACCCGACTTTCGATAACGATGCGAAGAAAGCGCAGTGGTACTTCCTCCAGCATGCTAAGGGTTACCGCGCGATGCGCAAGCTGAAAATCAAATCGAAGATGAAAAAGGCGGATCCGAATGCAGCCGCTGGAAGCATGATGAATGACGATTTCGGGGACGAAGACTAGCTCTCGAGTTAGAAGTTGTAGTAGCTATAACATAACAAAGGTTTTTTATGTTACTTACGGGTTGGAGTTCTGACGATTCATCAGCAAGCTAACATGTACATAGATAATCACGTAGTATTTGATGTACTATTTTTCTAGTTGTGCATGCTTTTTCTGAGTGGTCACCATATTTTGCTTCTGCGTGCGTCGTAAGCAGCAAGCTAGCCGTGAGCTTCAAGTGCAATGTTTTTTGGTCACATTTTTTCATCTTTCATGAACCGTGTGAGTGTAGGTCATGTTACTAGTTTGTCATTCTCATTTCTGTCTTTCTGCGTTTGTAGTCTGTCGTGTAGTTTTGCATTTGTAATATGTTACCCTGCAATGGATACTGATAATGTCTGCTTATGCTAGTTTTCTGCGGTGATTTCTGGCTCTGCTTGTGGTCGTGTGCCGTTTCTGTTACTGTTAACCATAGTGAATGCGTATAATGAATGTTAGAATTGTCATTGAATTCATTTAGTGGCCTTGTTATTCACATCCTCGGTTGGAATTTTTGCAGCTTGTTGTCATAATTATTGTCATGAGCTAGTAGGTTAGCTCTAGTGAATGTTGTAACTAATCTATCATAACAGGATAAAGATTAAAGTTTCCTTTTGTCGTCACATTACTCCGTCTGTTAGCACCGAGGGACTTACCAATTTCTTTGTTCTTCTTTCTATTAGCACTGGGTGATCATGATTGAAATGAAGAGAACGCAAACACGAATGTCATGATTGATCTTGTCCCGAAGTACAATTTTGCGTAGTTTCTTGTGTGAAACAGTAAAGAGTTCAACGTCCTCGTCTACTCCTGCTGCTCGGCGCACGGCGGTACAGGCTCCGAGAGTCGACGCACTGGTGTGGTGCTTGTGGTAATACTGTTCTCTCAGATTGATAGTGCCTCAGCTGCAAGGTTGGAGCTGCTGAATAAACTCGTCCTCGCGTCTACGTTCAAGCATGTTGCGGTCCGTCACTATCGTTAAGGCTACGCATCGCTAGAGCATCCGCGACAACTTGAAAAACTGTCAGCGGCGTGAAGAAGACGAATGCGGGTGTAAGTGATGTCGCCGTGTTTTTACAATCGCACGGGTCGCAGGGTTTCGCAGGTTAGGGATTGGGGAGGCGTAATGTGCGAGTCCGGAATCTTCTATGTTTCATCACTCATTGCCGTTGCAACTTCTTCCATCCTGAACTTTCCCAGCACAATCTTTTTTAGCAGATATAAAAGGATCCATATTTTTCTAGCGAAGACCCTTGTTCTGTATTTTGGAATTTTGATTCAGGATTTTGTGTTTTGGAATTCAGGTACTTTCTTAGGATGAATCATCATCTTCATACAGCTTTACTGATTGATGAAATTATGTATCTCGCTGTTATTTATATATATAAGGCTATTGATTGTTGAGGGGATGCAGTTCATCTTGGCACCACTTTCATACATTCGTCCACAACACGTTGCCGTGTAGTCGGCTTCTTTGAAGTAGTAAGTACATAGGCAGTTCTGTCATGCAACTACGTCAGAGAATCACACTTACAGAATCTTTATATTGTTCTGTTTACAACGACCTAGAAGTCTCCGACGAGCCGGGGGATGCAGCGCAAGGCTGGGCTATTCCTTTCCGCGCTTGCTATCGTGTGGACAGGAGTAGTAGCGCAAGATGTTGCAAATTGTCCACTGGGCACGACGGTTTGGGCGTTCTGGCTTCCAGGGGACCAGCGTGAGGCTTGGGTATCCACACATAAATACGTCTAGGATGAACCTAATGCCAATCTAACGTTTTCCACTTTCAAAACTTCATATAAGTGCATCCTCCACATCCGTAGCCATTTTGGCTCAAGGACTTATTCCCCTTTGTTCTCTTTTCAAGGTGTGCTGCAAATCTTGATTGGCTTTCACCCTTTGGTGAAGGTTTAGGCCCTGCGGCGCTCAAAGCACTAAGTAAAACAACCGGTTAGTTTTCACCTTGAGCACAAACGTAGACTTATCCCGTGCAACAATATAATATTAAGTCTAATAGGCCTTAGCTTTATTTGTTTATCTACAACATCGTGCATGGTCCAGGTTTCAGCTTATTATCCAGATGAGGAGATATATCATGTTGATTGGCGACATGCGCAATCGTTTTGTCGAGATATGAGGACTGCGCATGTGCATAGTAATGAAGATCGCTACCGTCCAAAATGTGAGAAGAAGCCGTGGGAGGTATTTGAATTTTGACACTCATGGAGGCCCTCGGGCACATGATGATGATTAATCAGTATCGCAGTTAGTGAAGATTCTTCTGCAACTAGACGATGACCAGAATCATGTTCATGATGATAGTTCTTTGACCCTCTCTCTCGTGCATTACTTTTCTCCTTATGCATTATCAGATATGGGAAGTTCAGACGATGCTCCCTTGTGGAAACCGTATTATTGGCGCGAAATCTACTGGCGATACTGTTCACCAGGCCGAGTTTGATAATGGAGAAGAAGTCTTTATCGGAATGGGCGTCGCGATTGCAATAGCAAGTACTTCTACTTCTGATAAGTACAAGCGTTCCGCGATTGCGATGGAAAGTACTACACCGTGATTACAGTCTTGCACGACGATTCAAGGCAACTTACTATGAGATCTCTGAATCAACCCATAGATGCATCTATTCTTCAGTTTCCTGTGTTGTACTGCAGAATGAAATTCATTTGAGCTGCAAGAGAAAAATTCACAATCTCTGTCTCATCTACGGGCTGTGGATGTAGGTAATATCCCTGATGCTGTAGAGTAATATTAGTTGACAGAGGCTCGTTGTAGACAGAAAAAGGTGAGTAGTTCAGGTCAGTTGTAGACAGAGGAAGTTGAGTAGCTCAGACAGGAAGACACTGAAGACAAGAAGCTTAATCGAGCTAATTCCTATTATTAGTCTCATCTACGGGCTCATTATTATTCAATCAGTAATAATCTACGGGCTGTGGAAGTGGGTGCAGAGCGTGGCCCGAGAGCGACACCACAGGCAAGAAGGAACACCACCACCAAAGAGCAACAAAGTTTTATCGTTTTTGTCGAAAACACCGGAGCGTTTAGGAAAGACGTTCAGTTGGGATAAAACACTGTCACCACTCGCGATCGCGAAATTCACCGCGAAAGAGGGGGGCGATGGAGGGTAATAGATTTTAAGATTACTGTTACTGATTTTTCTGTTTTTGTATCATGTGAAAAAGCAGCAGAACTTCCAGTATCTATTTCTTGTGCCTATGTAAGTATTTATTTCTAAGAAGCAAGTCTCAGTCTGTCACAAATGACAATGAGCAGGACTTAAGGGAATGCTTTCGAAGTTACACTGTTTATGTATCCATCTGGCAGGCGGCTACTCGACTTCGACGATCTGGAAAAAAATGTTGGTGGTCGACCGTCTCTGTTTGATCTGGCATTAACACAGCACGGCGAAGAGAAGGCGCTAGCGGCGTCGTCGAGAATAGCGAATAGTAGAATTACGGGTTTTTTGTTATGTTGTGCAATTTTGGCTGTACCAGGATTTTTAAGGGATTTTCGTTGATGCGCCACCGGAAGTAGATTCCATGTTATCGCTTCAGTCCCGCTGTCACTTTGTCTATTTATATATACAATAAAAACAGCATAGAAAAGCTGAAAATGAAGAGCTCCTCTAAGGGAAGCGGAGCCCCCTATGCAGTGAAAGTGGAGAAAAATAACGCGCCGGAAGAAAGGTTGCCAATATCCGCGACCCTTGCGGCAATGAGTGGCGGCCATTTGGTGCCTTCAGGCAGCAGGGCATCCTCTGCGCGAAGCGACGGTAGGAAAAGGAGTAAGGGCCGCGTCCAACCACTGATGGTAGATGACCGGTCAACAGAAGCTCGACTGTTGCGCGCAGCAGAGGCAGGGAAAGTTAAGGATCATTTGTTTGCTAGCGTAGTCTGGAATTGCTTTTTTTACTTCTAATTCTGTAGGGTTCACTAGTACACGTTCCAACTAAATACTAATTCTTGTTCCCAAATGATTTTGATTAGTCTTTTTGCTCAGTGAAGCATTATTTTTCTAGTTCTACTAATATAAATATGTATGAAAACTTCTAAGGAGTCCAAGCGGGATGCGTATGAGGTGGAGATGAGCAACTTGAGTATGGACGTGGAATCGGTGGAAAGTCGAGGCGTTGATAAAGGTGGAAACTTGGAAATTCTGCAGCCACTCCAACTCTTCCCGGATAAGCGACGCGGTTATCGCTTTAACGGTGGAGATGAGCAAAACGGTACTTCAGCAGGTCCACCTCCGCGAGCCCCGAGCGCAACTCGACGCGCATCAACGGGCAGTGTCAATGCTATGAATACTCACCGGAGTGGAAGTGGTAGTCAACCTGCGATGTTCTCGTCTCAGCATAGTCGCTCCTTCAATGCAGGCATTGCGGCAGCGCGACGGGGCTCAGAGCTGGCAGCGAGTACCAGGTCAGTCTCAGCAAGTCGGGGATGGAGCGCGAACATTCAGAAAGACTACTCAGCGCGTGGCAGCTCGGTTCCGCAAAGTGCAAGGTCCAATAATTAAGGCGACTTGCAGAGAAAGGACGGGGAGTGTACTCGAAGCGACTTCTTAGTTGAAAAGAAGATGAGGGCATACAGATGTATGTATGTAGCACGTTGCAGTTCACCAACCTTCCCGTTCGGTGGGCCCACAGCCTTTGTGGGTTCTCCTTACATCAGTAGTGCTCATCGGGTTGGCGGTGGGGATACCCTTTTCTTGTTTTCAGTTTTGACATGTGGGACAGAAACAAGGTGCCCACAGTGCCGGGGGGAACTGCCATGCAAACGGTAAGTCATGTGCACACACCTCTGCATCTCCAGCACAAGACATCTGTTGGGATCAGAGAATAATGGGCGTCAACTTTTGTTAAATAGTAAGCCAGCATCTTCATCATCGTCATCATCTCCTCACCAAGTCCTTCTACTTCTTTGAGTACACCTCCTCACTTGCCACCACGCGCCCGCTTGCGGTGCTTTTCTTCTCCTTCGCCGCGCCGCTGGCACTGGCTTTCGGTCAATTCTTGCCTTTTCCCTTTTTTGTTGCGATTATTGCCGGCACCTGCACCCGCCGCTTGTCCTGCTTCTTGTTGCTGCCCTTGCTCGTCGGCTCCAGAGCGAGAGAGGGCCTTCGGTTTGAGCTTCACGGAGGACGCGAAGCGCTTGAAAACGTTGCTGTCGTTGTCGCGACACCATTCCGTTAGTGCCATGGACGTGGTTCCCAGATGAAGCACCAGCTCATACCAGTAGTTGCAGAAGGCATACAGAGAGTTAATTCTCACGACTATCTACAGACCAAAAAACTCAAGCATGTAGACTTTTTATTGGGTTCTATTGGTTGTTCGCAATACCTCTAATGATTCGCCGGAGCATCGAGGCCTTAATCGGGAAGGATAAACTTGGGGAATGGCGGCCACTCTGTTGGATTTGGGTAGCTCATACCACAAGGAAAGTAATGTACGAAAGACATTGAGCTGATCTTTCTCGTTCGAGGATGCTCTGCATTTGTAGTGTTTTAGCGATTCTGCTGCTCTGCCACCGTGTACGAAAGGCCTATTCGGTTTATAGAAGAGAACAAGAAAAAGAAGAGAACAATATACCATTTCCCCATACAGTGAGACAAATATGTTGAAAATTAAGCACCGGCATTTTACCAGAGGGCCCCATTCAATGACCGGATCATACATAGCATATAAAGTGCTTGAGTTTCAGTTTATGTGCATGCTGATTTATCGTATTCATATCGGGTGTGCAGAATTCACGCTTCCTCGTACGATAAGACAGCCACTCGATTTTCTGCCATGACAATCTCCCTGTTCTATTCCATGACAATCATTTGATGTTTCTATTCCGTCTTGCACAAAAAAGGCACCGCATAATTTGGGCTAAAGTTGTCGTGCTGCTATACCATGTGAGTGAACGACCTGTACAGATATGTCATGAATGAACCCCTCATGCTTCTTCGTAAATCTAAATGGAGAAAAATGTTGGTTGGTGATGCTATGTTGATGTTGCTACTGAAAAAGAAACCCATTCAATCACTTTGTTGCGTGGATGCGCGTAATCGTTGACTGATCGTGGTAGTGTGTTCACCTTCGTGGATTTGCGTTGGAACAGTTTTTCCGGGAATCCAGTGAAGATTCAGCTGGAGAGCGGACCCCACGTTTTCGACGCACAGCACGGTAAAGCGCTCGTTCGAAAACGGAGAAAAAAAGGCGACGTACAATGCAGGAGACGATTCATTCCGGTACAAAAGGCGGGCGCGCCTTTGCGGAAGTGAACAAATTCGGCCACGTCACGACGTCAAAGAACTGGGAAGACTAGCAGATCGATGGGCAGCAGACAGCCGCACAGCGGCATGAAACGACGTCTGCGCCGGCTTCGACGCCCATCGAGTCGCCGCCACGGAAGATGGTGAAGCAGATTATGTTCGGTCGCGGCGGTCTTTACAGGGAATCAAAGCGAAGCTCAGGACGCGAATCCTCCCACCGTTCGTTTCGGTCTAGAGAAGGCGAGCTGCTGAATCTGGGAGAAGGGCATCTCCGCACCGACACAAGTTTCTGGCTTTTCGGAGCGCACAGGATAAATGTTGCGAGTGCTGTGACGAACAAGCTCTGCTCCTAAATTTATGACCTTTTGGTACTTAGGTTTTTATGCAATTTTCGTGAAAAAGCATCTGAGCTTCGCTCTTCTGCTTGGGATAGGTCATGGTGTTAGAGATGAGTTAGCCGACTAAATTTAAATGAAAAAAACAACTTTCAAAGTTGGGTTGATCGTCTTTATAGTCGGAAGTAGGAACTGACAGTAGAATATATCGCGAAAAAATCAGTGGAAGGAAAAATAAGATGGAAACCGATTTGCTTGTAGCAGGATGGAAGTCACGATGAGAGTTGAATGGGAGAAGATTTGAGAGACATCTGGAGACAGAGGATGAAATACGAGCGGAATACATAGTCAGACAATGCGTCTACATCGAATCAATGCAAATCTAAATAAGTAATACATTCGTATTTGAGACTAAATGTCAATGCGCTGTTGGTAATTACACATGAACTTCATTGTGTTATCAGGACTAAATCGTCCATATATTAGGAAAGTGCATTTAGTCCCTATCTTTATTTGTGTGCGCTATAATATCCTGTGAGTAAGGAAGATAGCTAAGTAGAAGAGGAGGATGAAGCGGTTCATCCCCTTGGCGGTGGGGGCGTCTGCCGTCCTGGTCGAGCATGACCAACAAGAAAAATGGTACGACGACCCAAGCAACGTGCTGGAAAGCTTCCACTCGGAATACCGGTACTCATCTCTCGCAAGATCATCAGAGAATTTTTAATATAATGATTAGTTCAATAACGAAACAGTTCCTGCTCGTACTTGTTCAAAAACTTTTTTGATTAAGTGGCAAAAACTTCATTAAGCTGCAACGTAGTACAACACACAAAATACAGGCACATGCAAAGGGACAACGAGCATCGGGTGAAACATTTGCACCCCGATGATGCATTGGAACTGTTGCGAAAAAAGTTTCCGGGGGGCAAGCACATGCAGGAAATATCAATGCTTTCGATGCGAGCAAAGTCTAATGGTAGTAAGGTAGAGGCAAGTATTAATGGTAAGGTACGTAGAAGCTCCATCATTCTTGTAGAAGCTCCATCATTCTTGTCTAAGGCAAGTATTTTCATCTTGTAGAAGCTCCATCACACCGTCTCTACTCGGGTCGCAACGGAATCAGGCAGTGAGAGCTGTTACGTGGTTCGCAAATGAATTAATGAATGAAAAAATGACACTGGAATCGAACATGTCTGCTGGTGACGAACAATGCACATATGTATTGGCTTTTTTGCCCATGACGTATGAATTTCTAAAAAGTCTAAAGAATTTCTAAAACAGAAGATTTTATATCGATGTCGATGTGAAGATCATTGTCTTCTTCGATCCGCTTCTTTCTCCTCCCACGCAGATACCCTGAACGTGCAGGAGATGGCAAAGGGTGTTGTCGCGATTAACAACATGTACAAGAGCACCGACAGTGAGCGCATTAACACACTGACGGTCTGCTCGCAGAAGCTGTATTCTATCTACCGCACTAACTTTATGATTGCGAAAGAAATCAAGGGTTTGAACGCGAAGTCAGAAGACAAAAATCAGGCGCATGACGATGCGGCTGAGCAGAAAAAGGCCTTCTTGGACGATAAGCAGACCCTCATCCAGGAGAGGGAACAAATGAAGGTGTCTAACTTTTTTTTAAGACTTAATAATTGGCGACGAGTATCTTTCCGTGGTAGCTTCATTTTGACTTTGTATCTACTGATCATCTTTTCACCTTCGGTGTCTCTTATTGCATGTTTTTTCTTCCTACTCTCACGGACGCATGCATCTTTAGGTTGACCATGCGGAAGATATGAAGGAGCCACTGGCAAAAGAGGCTGAGAAAGTGACGCAGGAGCGCATTTTTACCGTCATTATCAACGGAATTGACTCCAAGTGCGCCACTGGAAACGTCAAGCCGATGAACAAGGGTCAACTCCGCTTCAAGCGCAATCCGAGTCCAGCTCCGGAAGGCAACAGCACAAACGAAACAACTGTCGGCTCCGCCGCACTCCTGCAGGCGTCCGGTGAATACAGCGTCGAGGATGCTCGCGCCGAGGATGAGCAGAGCGCATTGGAGCGCGCGTGCGTTGGCACGCAGCAGGATTCCTCGATGAACCAGCTCTTCTTGTCGGTTTTCTCCTCTAAGGAGGTGCAAGAGGCGACGAAGAAGGCAGAGTTGGATATGGATTCTCGCCGCATTATGGACGTTACCCTGGCCAACCTGCGAGCCGCTGAAGAGGAGGAAATCCATCCCAAATACCAAAAATACAACAAGGGCAATGACGACGCTACGCTCATGATCCAGACTAAGGCGACAATGACATCCAATTATGAAAGAAAAGACTACTAGCCCTACCCGTAGTTTCTATCAATGATGTAGTCGAGCATCTAAATTGCTGTGGAACAGGCTTTCTTCAAGTGAATCTAGAAAAGCATCTTCCTTCCTCTCTAGGGCAGTAGTTTCGGTTTCTAATTTTCGCAACCGCTGCAAGGACCATGGTCTATCTCCGACAACGGATCCAAGTCTCCGATGTGCGGAAGCGTTGAGCAGATCGACTGCGATGTTCTGCTGACGATGATGGGAGAGCAGCTCGAGTGTGCTCGACAGGAGCTCTTTGTTGCTAAGGGTATTTCTTTCATGCATGAATGTGATCTAAATAATCTAAATTACCTAGAAATTAGCCTAACGACACGAAATTCTTGTGGTAGTTAGAGGATAATCGAAAGTACTACATTTGTGGTGATCGTTTACTAACTCTTTTTGCTACTGACTGTTAAGGCGAGCGTGTCGCTTTAGAGGAGAAGCAGCGTGAGGAGATGCGATTGAAGGAAAACAGTATCACTGCCGCACAGAAAGCCGCTGATACGCAGCAAAAGCTGATGAACGACGCGCGATCCACCGTCGACGGCTATAAGACGCAAATCCAGGATTTGAAAGAGGAGCGCGTGCGCTATGCCAAGGAGATGCACCTCGAAAAGACCAAGTGCCACCTTCAGCTCTACGAGCTAGAGGCCAATGGCTTGTGTGCCGTCAAGGCGCTGCGCAACTTCTGGATGAAGGAGACGCTCACCAAAGCGGGCGTCGATGATGACGCGGTCACGGATTGCGAAGCCGCTGACACCATGCAGCCGACGGGAGAGTGCCGACTCGGACCGGAAGCCAAGTTAAGGCGTCATCTCATATCACTCTCTCACTTTAAACGTCACCGGCAACATGGAATGTTTCATAGAAGTAGAGGTTGTAGATCAAGACCCAGAGGGTCATGCTGAAAGGTTTCATCAAAGATACAGAGCATGTTTATCGAATTCGGCTTTTAAAAGTGGTGTTTGAACTCTAAGCAATGGACCGGTGATGACCTGCATTAAGGGAAATAAGATCCCCGAAGACGAAAACAAGCTGCCCTTCCGCGAGTGGACCCGTCAGATGGAAGGCGAGCCAGGACAAAGCTCGGAGTTGGAGGTACTTTTTGAAATAATTAAAGCGCATTTAATTGAAGGTAACATCTCTTTCTTTGTGCAATACCACTAAACGGTTTAGTACTGATAAGTTAGGGTATCGTTGTTTTTGTGAGCGCAAGATTCTACGAACTCCATCAAATTCAAATCTAATCTTTCTCAGTCCCTCGGAGAAAAACTGTACTTGGAATGCCCGTCGGATAGCATGATTTTGCCGTGTAACCGCTTCTTGTGCCCGATCGACTGCGAAGTGTCTGAGTGGGGTGACTGGAGGGAGTGTACCGCAGAGTGCGACGGCGGAACCGAGTTGCGTGAGCGATCCGTTGTCAAGGAGCAAGCATACTTCGGAGAACAGTGCTCAGATCTGTTGGAGGACCGCAAGTGTAACACCGAGAAGTGCACTGCTAACTGCAAGCTGCATGCTGACTATGACGAGGAGGGCGAGGGATGCCTCATGGTACTTGAAAAATAATATAACAAATTTTATTCTTGTTCGTCTGAGATACACGATTGACATTCTCTATGTATAAGTGCCTGACGAAGAGTTTGTTCGACGAGATTACGAGTCATCTTTCACCACTCCACAGGCCTGCACCCAGCCGATGGACGGAGTCGAGTCCGACGATGGTCCCGTGTACGAGACCAACTATGAGATGGTTGTCAAGCGCGTCCGCGAGCCGGCTCGTGGTGGCGGCGAGTGCCCGCACCACCATTCCAAGGCCCGGTATGCCAAGAGCTCGGTACTCGCCAAGGATGGTGTGATCGATGCCAACAGCTGCCCGCAGAACCAGTGCGAGGGTGACGAAGTCTGCGCCGACGTGATGGACCTCATCATCATGCACGAGTGCTCTCAAGCCACGGGTCGTCTCGGTTGCTGGTTCATTGCTCAATTCGTCGTCACATTGATGCAAAAGATGCCATCAGCGCTCTACGGCTTCCCGACTCTCAACGTCGGTCTCGTCATGTTCGGAAACGGAAAGGCGATGAAGGAAGGTATTAGCACCTTATATATAAATATATAACTTCCCTGAACAAATTTCATCGTAGGATTCCTTTCAGCACATGAAACCCCTTTTGTTCTTTTCGTTTTAGAGGCACTTACCGGAACTGTCGTTAACTTCAGTCCCGTTCCATTCAAACTCTACCATGATGAGGTCAGACCAACTAACATCAACATCCTGTCATCTTCAAAATTTTCAGGTGACAAGTGGGTGGTTACCCCCGCCATTGAGCAGGTCGCTTTGACGGACCAGGTCACTCAGGCGTTCTCGGCTTTGTACAACCACGCTAAGAACTTGATGAGCAAGAACAGCGGTTACAAGTACCATTTGGGCTTCAACAATATGGCCCAAGGTCTCATCGTCGCGGAACGCTTATTGGGCGATGCACGAACCACAGACGGAGGCTCCCCGATGGAGGCCGCGAAGAAGGTCGTCGTGGTCACCCGCGGCCGCCGCATTGAGTGCGGCTCCGCCAAGCAGCGCGCCAAAATGCTGAAGCAGGCTGGCATCACCGTGGACGTCGTCCTCTTCGCTCCGAGCTACATTGCCTCGAACTACGAGTACCTGAACGCCGTTGCTACGTTCCCGCCAGAGGGCCACTTGTTCTACAAGGGCGGCTTGGAGCTCCTCTCCGTGGTCGACGGCATGCGCAAGATCGCCTCTTCGTTGATCCCGAAGGTGTGCCCGGACGCCGTCTCGCCGGCGGCATTCCTGAACACCATGTGCGAGGGCGCGTACAGCGACGAGGGCAGCGCCATGAAGGGCCCGCCGCTGATTGTGGTGCACCGCGGCCGCAACTGCCCGCTGTGGACTGTCAATGTGATGGGCGAGGAAGCCGATCCGGTCGACCTTGTCACCTGCGCCACGGAGGCTGCGAAGCGCGAGTTCACCTCGTTCATCCACAAGCGTCTGCCGGAAGGCAGCAACGAGCCAAACTGCTTCTCGCACGAAACTTTCGGCCGCCAACCGCAGGTCAAGGGATACGGCGATGCCAAGGACGCCTACATCCCGGAGGAGGGCACCTGCACCGGTGACGGCCTGAAGAAGCCGGGAACCTCCGCTGGCGCCTCCCAGGGCTGGGCACCGCAACCGCTCGCTCCGGACGCTACCCACTACGAGATTCTGGAAGACGCGAAGCACTGCCCGAAGCCGTACTACAAGTACTACCGCATGAACACTCTTCCGCTTGACTTCACCGAAGAGTACTTTGGTGGTCTCGTCGAGGGTGCGGAGGTCAACGGCATGATGGGTACCGAGGGTGGAGCTACGCAAGATTTCTAAATCTAAATGCATAGGTCCTAACTTGGCGGACTCTGGTGTGTAGTTCTCCGCTATTTCTTGTTTTTTCCACCTTCTCCATCAATTTTGGTCTTTGGTACCAGGGGAGATTTCTGTCAAGACAACCTTTTTTTTTCCGATGATCATCAACTTCGCAATAGAGCACCTGGCTTTCCCCTTTGATGAAGCTCGCCATGATATTCTTTTCTTTTCCGCGAAATACAACAGTCTATTTCTTTGAATACGAATTGCAAATCCGTGCTGACGGTATTACTCCATTTTCTCATATTTAAGTAGTTGTTCAAGGTAGTGATAATCCGTTGATGATAATCCGTTGATTAGTTAACTTAAGTAGCCCTAAACCAAATTTTGAGTTGAGTACTTCTTTGTTTGGTAGCCAGACTTATTCTTGTTTGATTGTCATTATGTCATTCTTGATTTGTTTTGTCGCTGTGCATCGTTTTTTCCGTTTAGATATTCGTTTTCTCGACCGATTTCCTTTTTTATTAGACTTGTCATGGCAAATGAAAGATGCATATGCATAGGCTTGTGCATTGGGAGGATGATAAGATGGTTTTAGTTACTTATAACTCTATATTGAAATGACATAAGCTCGACATGGGACATATGACACACAGGGAAGCTCCGTCTAGTGGAAGAGGCAAAGGGCCGGATTGGTTTTCTCAAGTTGGTGTTCTCTCGTTTCTGGATCTGTTTCTCACGCGAAAAGGAGTAATCGAATCTGTGGGACATTTCATCACGTTTGTTGTTCTATCGCAAGCGTGCGCATTGCATCTGGAACGACGCGTGATGAAGAGTTCTAGACCTAGGATCCATATGGATGCAGATGATCTCAAAAAGGATTTTCATCCTTGCGTGGTGCGTCGAACAAACTTTGTAAATTGGACCTGCTGCAAGCGTTTTGGACCTGTGCAGATCCCTTTAGATAATTTAGATTTTTTAGACAGTCTGCACTGAACTTTGAGGTACTATAGGGGAATAGCCCCGTCCGTCGCCGGCAGCTTCGCGGATAAACATGCAAGCGCTTCCCTTTCGGATAAGCATGGCACTACAAAAAAAAAAGCGAGATTAATTGTATTGTATTGTATCATGTGACTATGACACGGGGAAGTTGGGTTGACATCCGGAGAGCGCAACTGACATTAATTCTTCAGTGATTCGTGCAATCTAACCATCTATCGGAATAGATGTCGTCCATACCGTAGCCAATTCATCGCGGCAGAGTTGCTGGCTGCACTTGGATCACTACGATTTGTCGCAAGCTGTCCTACGAGGTGCGTCACTCGAGTATGTGGGTCACCAGACTAGCGGCGGACTTTGCAAGGCTGCTGTCGTGTCGCGAGGCTCTGTCTGTAGGCTATCTGTACGGAGGCCTGCTTTAAGGACTGAGAAGTAGGTCCGATGACGGTGCCCGCAATGGGTCCAACTGCAGAGGTGGAGATGGGAACGTACGAGACATCCCCATTTCCTCGCACTGACCTAGCTTGTGCGGACTCAAACGGAGTTAGCCCGAGAAAACTTGTTCCTGGCGGAATCCGGTCACCACCGATTTCGGGCTCGCAGAGTGGACAAGGAGCGATGGATCCAGAGAACGAAACTCAAACGACCAGGGCAAGCAGTAACGACGGCAGTGTCGGAGCTCCATCGGTCGGCAATTCCGCGTCAGGAAGACCTCCACCAACGGCTGTTGCGGGACCTCCTAGCACGATAGTTGGAGCGGGCGGGATCAACATGTATGACGATTTCGAAGACGAAGGCGCTCAAGGAAATGGAATGGCAAGTGCGGCGTCAATAGAGGCGCACCTGCAGAGGTTTCGGGAAATAAACACGGTTTACGCCCAAGACAAATTCGAGTATCTTGGGTCAGTGGATCCCGATGTACAGGAGGTGCCACCAGGAGCACTTCCCATTAGCATGATGGAGTTCGAAGGTTTTACATTTAATTCAGTTGGCGTCAATCTACCTTGAAAATTCCATATATGGTATAATATCGTTGACACTTCTTGAAGCACGAGAAGAAGTGACACCGTCGGTGAATAAAATGCCTTTTCAGTAGTTCATTACTTAGAAAGTTGTGAATTTTCGTTTCTCTGTCACAATCTCAGACGTTCTGCTCGATGAAGACAATTTGTTTTATCTGCCGACGGCAAGCGCTATTCCATACCGGTATGATGCGGGAATAGACGGCTTTTTTTCGCGACATATTACGGGTCGATTAGGCAGATTGACGCACATACTGGATAAGACCAACTTGTACATTAAGTCACGATGGGTATTTCTCGCCTTTTTGCTGTTGCTGTTCGCATATAGGATTCACACTGCGCGAGGCTTCTACCTAGTGGCGTACGCATGCAGCATCTATCTTACGAGCAACGGTCCAATTCCATGCAGTGTGGTGGACACAAGTTGTGCGTCACAATTTGTGCGCCACCCTGCGATGAGTAGGAGATGGAATTGAGTGGTCAGCTAGCTTTAAGCAGATGTTGAATTTGGTGCTGAATTTCCTCACACCGGTGGTAGATCCAGAACTAGAATCAACCAGATCGCGACCGGGCGACGACTTCAAGCCCTTTGGTATCTGCATTATAGAAGGGAATTGAGATTGACTAGCACGAGAAGTCGGCTGGCTTTGGCATTTCTATCTAGGCTTAGGCTTTTCTGATATTGCTTGGAAATGAAAATCTCCTCAAGGGGCCATTTTTTAGAATGCAGTCCCTCTTCATTTCATAGCAACTGATAGACAATGTTCTCCAGCACGTTTCCTTGTTAAAAATGAAACCACATCACAGTGCGGCAGCTGCCGGAGTTCAAATTCTGGCTAGATTCGGTGAAAGCGCTAAGTCTGAGCACGTGTATGACGCTGTTTCGGTGTTTCGACATGCCAGTCTTTTGGCCTGTGCTGGTCATATATTTCCTCCTCCTCACGTTCTTCACTCTCAAAGAACGGATAAAACATATGATCAGGTATTTTTACTTGCTGTCGATGTGCAGGTTTATGTAGTGTGAAGCCTTCCTGGACGAACTGCCTGGCGTTGTTTTCTCAAACATTCAATGGATTGCCATCATGAGCACGCTTCCAATGAGACACTGTCAATGTTAGTTATCGAACTCGGATGGAGGTCTAGTTAGATTATTATGTTCGTCATCATCTTCTGAATCAGGCACCGCTATCTGCCATTTTCGTACGGGAAGAAGACTTACCAACGTGCTCCGACAGTAGAGCCATTAGCAGAAGCCAAGGGCGCAGCTACGGCCAAATTGGAAGTATGAAGTGTTAGCCTCAATGGCCAAGTTGACAAGTGCTCCATTGAATCCTTGAACGCTTCATAGAATACTTTGACTCTCTACTGAATACTTTTGCGTGTGATTGAATACTTTTGCGTGTGATTGGGTGCGTTCACCTTGTCGTAAAGGTCGCCCACGGGATCGGACTTATTGAATGTCGATATGCCTTCGATAGGGAATTTCTATATTAGCAAAAATTGTCATTTACAAATGCTGGGGCCACACGAGTAAACTGAATGTTCACATTGTCATGTCGATTTGTTATCGATAAAGTTCTGTATGTCACAAGATCATGGATTGCGACACCAGCAGAGGGGGATAACGCCTACAGAAGGAAGAATACCGCTCCAAGTCCAAGCTTCGCTTGGATGCTCCAACTGCAAAAGCTAGCGGTGGTACTCCGAGACCAGAGGGTATTGCATGAAATTCTGCCCTTTGTAACGTGATGGGAGGGGAGCGAAAAAGAGCGGCGGAGTTCCTTACTCAAGAGAGAGAAAATGGTAACATCATGACTCTGAAAAAAACTGGCGAACAAAGGAATCATTGACTTTCAAACTTCGCCATGCGTGGAAACCAAGAGATAAAATTTTTCTTTGTACACTTCGTCTTTGATCGTATGTAGCTGTTTCCATGACTGATATTTGATGAAAGTTTTGATGAATGCAAACAATGAATCATGTGAAGAATAGCATCGTGCTTACTACAAGAAGGCAAAAATGGTCGTGCTGGCATTTGCGCAAAATCGAGCACTCTCGCGCATTCAGGGCAGGAGGTGTAACGCTCCTGCTCTCTCGCCCAGTGTCGACAGCCGCCCCGTCGTCGACTGTCGCGAAGAAGTATGGGGCGTCTTTGGGAGATAAAAGCTTTTCGATCCAGGCCGCGTCGCCAATTGCTAGCGCATCGTCGACACCTACTAGCGAGTCGTCGGCAACTACAAATAGCGGATCGTCGTCGTCAACTACAGCTAGTGCATCGTCGTCGTCAACCGGCCAGAATGTGTCCAAGAAGATTCGCATGGACTACCGACACGGCGATGCAGCGGTGCAACGTATGGATGATGTTTTTTTCCATCTTTCAGACCACGCAGGCTGCGCTTTTCCCCTTAAAACTGTATATCTGCGGGGGGGCCCCGATGGTCTGCCTAGATGGAAAACACTACCTCCACGCAACGTGCCTACGACATGTGGTTAGCTGATCGGCGACGAGCACGCGCAAATGGAGCGATCGGCATGCTCACTTGCGCTTTGTCGCTTGCGCCAGCGCTTCCGCCTCCTCTGTTCATCACGTCTGCTGCGCTGATGCTAGCGAACTTCTCGGTGCTGGACCATGCGTCGCAAATTTTTGTCAGGTAGTGAGTTCTTTAATAGGCTGAGATGATGAGATGATACTTCTACGTACAAGTGCTGTCTTTCTGGAGGTAGTGCATACAACGCAATATCCATCTTGTTAGAGCAGGAACTTAATTGTACCCCTTGTGCATTGCCGGGAGTAGATACGTAGGCCCAACCTTAGTCTTCTGGACTGTATTATTTCGAACGTGATAAGATAGATCTTTACACCCAGTATGCACATGCGCGCGCACGTGACACGGGGAAGCTTCGAAGCAATTGAGACTGACAGCGGGTTAAGGCTCTGAATAGTTTACTTTCACATCGGCAGCCATCTAAAGTCCAACTTCTCACATCGAATGATCGTTAGAGTGAACTTGAGTAGGGCTATGCTGTAGGCCTGAAATTTTCTGATCCGACATAGATGAGTGTCCGCCGGGAACCTAAAAAGTGGGTCGTAGCATTGGGAAGCTCTTCTTCCTGGCAGGCGAGCTTCTGCGCTCCCTCGTTTTGTCGCGAAGCAAGCAGATCCAACTTTTCTCAACTACATACTGACATACCCCAAAACCCGTCGTTTTTCACTGCCCCACTTAACTTAGCAAAGCGCCACCCAGTTATCTAAAATCCAACTTCTCTAACTCTAACTGATGGGGGTGTCACACGTTGGAAGGTGCAGGTGGCTTCCTGCGCTGCAGAGCGAGAGTTCGAGACCGCAAGATCGCAAGAGAGGACTTTAGCCACCAACTGTGTGAGTCTGGGAGAAATAATCGACCAGACACAGTGGCTTTATTTACCAAGAGAGCTTTCAGAAGAAGAAGCGAAGGCGGCAAAAGAGGTTACGAAGATTGAGGAATTTGAATCTGTTTGTTAAAGATTATTTTCTGCACCTGTACTACTTGGTTGTTTGTTTTCTGTACTAATCTTTTTAGAGAGAAAGAAACGTTGTGCAGTCGCAAACCGGGTCTTGGCCGAAAAAACCATTTCCAACTCTAAAGATACCAGCGCACCAAATAGTGAGTCAAGTGCAGGTCACACGATATTTTCGGGTGGCAACAACCCCTCCGGAACCGAAGCTTCGACTAGCTTTTCGGGTGGCGCTGTGCAAGACGAACCACAATGGACGACAACTTTGGACGATGACGCTTCTCTTTCTCCATTAGAAGCAAAGGTCCGGGAGCAACAGTTACTCGATTGTCTTTTAGCTTCCTACGTGATTCCGTCAACAGAAGAGCTTTCCGTATTGCCGCTACGAGGCAAAGAAGCGCATCCTCCGATAGAGAGGATAAAGTTAGGCTTTCTTCGTAGAGAACACATCGACCGATTGAAAGCGCTCCTCGAAAGACTCGACAAAACCATCACAGAGCGGGGCGGAAAGCATACTGGTACCTATACTCACTCTTTTCATCTCTTTGTCCAGATTCTGTATCTGTAGATGAACCTGCATTTAAACCTAGACTACAACTATAACTGCCAGCTGTTTGTGGATTCATAGAGCTACTATACCTGTAGACGGCACCATGACGATGAACAACTTAGAAGCAAAATATACAGTGATACATAGTAGCGATAAATATTCCTCTTCTAAAATAGCCTTAAGAAACTGCTCGCCTCGCAGATCATCCATGGCCACGGTTTTTCAAGGCTTCCCCTCGAGGGGCGATCAAGTTCATCTCTGATGGCTACTCGACGATCGGCCGCATGTATCTCCTGTTTGGATGCATCGTGTTCATCCTCTGCAACGTATCTATCGAGGAGGCAGATCCTAATTTACGACTTACCAGAAAATCTATATTTGAATAGAAGCGTCTTCTAACCGCGATCGGGTACGCTACTATTACCACTAAGCAGGTGTGCTTTCCAGCGGTGAACATCTTCTACTTTCATACTTGCCTACATTTGATGTAGTCGTTCTGCATCTGCTTTTCACTATATTAAATGGCTCTAATTACTGTTCGGGAAAGCGGCGCCGTCATCGTCAGGAGAGACCGGGAGCCCGACAGTTCCAAAGCTTGATGTTTCCACATTATGGAGATTTTCGGAATATCGATGACTAGACAGTTAAGATCACACTTAAAGATGAGAGATTTTCACTCTATTTGCTCTTGAGTGAAGACAACGTAGAGGTCGTGGTATAGTGCTTCTCTCTGTTGCACGTCTAACATAAGTAATTAAAAAGTAGGTAAATTTAATATATCCATGTTTATCATTGACGATGTTTGTCTGAGAATATAACTTTTTAGTTCACGAATGATGATGTAGACGCATTTTCACCATGTCATGAACGACATCTGTCTCTGACTGTGTGAGAGAGAAAGAACATCGGGAAAGCATTCCGCAAGTAGAAGTGGTCTACTGATTAGTTTTGTCACCAGTCACGCAATGTCGGATCCAGGGCGTCAATAGTCTACAGGACACAACAGCGATCAGAAAATAGAGGACAATGTGCCTGAGTGGTCTTCACGTCAATACTCCTTTGTCTGAGGACAGGATCCAACAACAACGAAGATCTATTTTGCTATACGATCACGCAGGCTGTGCTCTCGATGTATATTATGATCACGCAGGTTGTGCTGTCAACGTCATTGCTGCATCTGAGATCCAACAAGAAAGATCCACCATAGTGAGTGCAATATTTTGGTTCTTCGTTTCATGTATTTTTTGTGGTTCCGGATCCGCAAGGGGATGAAAAAGACCGAATGTTGGATCGATTTTTAGGTGAAATTTTTTTGAGAGGATCCTCACACGTGTCCTGAATCAAAGTGATTTGAAGTTCCTTCTGCCCAACGCAGATAATCACGAAAGCACTGATCTTGATGAGTTTTTAGTTGAGGTTGTACTTCTAGCCTTGTTTACGTTATCGTTATGATTGTCGTGATTGATTGCTTACTACTACTGCGTTCCTCTGCAGTAGAGTGCTCGTAACCACGGTGGTGTGTGTGTGATATAGGATTATGATTTGATCCGGTGCTTGCATTCAAAATATTTTCAGGGGAGTAAGAATTGTGCGAAAGAAGCACATATCATGAAGAATACTGCATAAAGGTGTGGTCATTTGAATCATCCATATTTATATGGACGAAATATCGAAAATTCACAAAAAGAACAAGATAAGCAAAATTTCTTAAGAATAAGCAAGTACTCTTTTTCGCGTTCAATTTCCTACAATTTTTCCATACAAGAAGATGGGTGTCTACGTTCCAGCAAGCAAAAAGAAGGGGCAAACTGCGGCGGAAGCGGCTGCGGAGAGCAAGAAGGCTCTGAAGAAGGTGGCTGCCGCCGGTGACTCCAGCACCGATGATGACGCGTCCTCGAGTAGTTCGGATGAAGGGACCCCAGCTTCGTCGACAGCCACGGCGCCCCCAACTTCTGTGATCGCTAAGAAGGACGAGTCTAGCAGCGAAGAAGAATCCTCCGATGAGGAAGAGAAGAAACCAGCTGCAGCACCGAAGGCTGCTGCCGCCCCAGCCGCCAAAAAGGAGGAGTCTAGCAGCGAGGAAGAATCTTCCGATGAGGAGGAGAAAAAGCCGGCTGCTGCACCGAAGGCTGCTGCTACCCCGGCCGCCAAAAAGGACGAGTCTAGCAGCGAAGAAGAATCTTCCGATGAGGAAGAGAAGAAGCCAGCTGCAGCACCGAAGGCTTCTGCCGCCCCGGCCGCCAAAAAGGAAGAGTCTAGCAGTGACGAAGAGTCTTCCGACGAGGAAGAGAAGAAGCCAGCTGCAGCACCGAAGGCTGCTGCTACCTCGGCCGTCAAAAAGGACGAGTCTAGCAGCGAAGAAGAATCTTCCGATGGTGAAGAGAAGAAGCCGGCTGTTGCTGCCGCACCGAAGGCTGCTGCCGCCCCGGCCGCCAAAAAGGAAGAATCTAGCAGCGAGGAAGAGTCTTCCGATGAGGAAGAGA